TAAACCTTTTTCTTTTCTGCCACCTCTGAAGAAGCAGGTGACATTTGGGAGGCCTGATGTTGGTCCTGAGACAAGAGGACATTCAGGAGAGGAAGAGCCATGGCCTTCAAAATGCAGACATCTACCACTGCACCCTGCTGATGGGGGCTCAGTTCTCAGTGATCTGTGAGTGTAAACTTCTAGTTCCTCCCCCATTTCTCTGGCATATGTGTAGCTTTGCACATATGTGGTCCATCTAAGTGTGTCTCATTTTTGTGTTTACAAGTTTTCAGACTGATGACTTAGTTTCATACACTCTCCTTAACTCTTTCTCTGACCCTGCATCATATGACTGGTGGTGCAATTACACAGGAGCTGCTGTGAAATGCAAACATCAGCCCACACATAATGAAGGAATTTGTGACTTTATATTTGCATATCAGCAACAGGTAGAATCAGCTCAGCTATAGACCTTCACTGTGTGTTTCTTAAGATACAACTGAATTCATGGAGTGTTGGTCATTTGTCACAGGAACAGTTACACAGAGGACCATTTGAAAGATATCTGTTGTGGGCCTTTGGCCATCAGGATTGCTTATCTTGCCCAAGTCACCTAGAGCTGTCACTGAAGCTCTTATCTTTTTTCACTGAAGTCATGTATAAGCTCTGATGAAATCATAAATCATAAACATCAAGATCCTGGCTATACAGAAGCTGAACTCTCACCTTGCCTCTTTCTTTTCCCTGGGGAAGCTTTTCCTTAAAAAAATTCCTACTGATCACAGGGCAATTGCAAGGAATAATCTTCCATGAAACTTCTCAGTCCAGGACAGGAGCCCTACAGAGAAATAATATGGTAACTTCACATTGCTTTAAGCTTGTATGTGCTGCCAAAAGAAGTGTTTCTGCCCTGTTTAGTTGTGTCCCTTCCACCACTCCCTGTGTTGGCACAACCATTCACATGGTGAACAAGATTGTCCATTAATACAGGTGGAAATTTAGTCTGTAGGAATTACTATTGTGTGCAAGGGGAATGTTGCAGAGCAGGGATGAATGATGAAACAGGACTGTTTCTTTAGCTGCAATACCAGCTTATGCCAATTAAAAATAATCCTGAATCTGGGGCATTATTCTGTTTTTCTTTTCAGAAATGGTATTCAACGAGCCAGGTTACCACCACGGAGGCCTGACTTCCTTCTGGAGCCTCTAGAAAGCAAGGAACTGCTGGGACCTCCTTTTGCTAGGTAGAGAATCTATTTTTAAAAGTAAAGAAAAGAGGGTGACTTACAGTGGGCATAGTGAGGCAGCTGACTGAGGAACTGTATGCAAGGGAATGACAAGATTCTCCCTTTTTTTCCACTGACTGCAAAGGACAAGACCAACAGGTTGCACTGTATAGTGACCTCATCCTTCTTCTTTTACAGGTCAGAGGTACCTTTTCAGCAAAAATCTGTGAATAAATGTTCTGCACAGACTGGGAACTTACTGCAGACACCTCACCTGGAGGAAAGCACCTGTAAATGTCTGTCTCAGACTGGCAGTGCTGCTCATTCCCGTCCCGTTCCCTCTCTCCCACGTGCTGCTCTCCCCTCTCCCCCACTGTGGACAGCAGATGTGCCCCGTGCTGGGCAGGGCCCAGAGCTCTGGTCTCCTGCCTCTTTCATGCCCCAAATGAAAGCTGGATCAGAGAAGGTGAGTGCACTGCTGAAGGAACAATCAGTGTGTGCACTGGGCTGCTGTCAGGAGCTTGTTGCTGTGTTTTCCTGTGGCTCTTCTGAGCTGCCCAGCTGGAGGTTGAGCTGTTCTTGTTCGATCTGTCATGTTTAAAGCTGATCATATGCACTGCCTCTGAATGCCCAAGAACTGTGTACCCCCAGTCTGAAGCAGTCCACGTGTGTTGCACTGTAATTCAGGCCTTTTTTCCCGGTGGTCTTCCTACCCAGATCTTTTCTTGGCAACTGACTTGAGGTCCTGCCCCTTCAGAGCTCAGAGCAGTTACAGTTTGCCATCCAGATTTACAGGGATTTAAGAATAACTCAGTTTAGGAGCAGAGGCTGTGTCTGAGAGGCTCAAAAAATTGGAATTCACTTTACCTCCAAGTCAGTGCTTGCATTTTAAACTCCCTTGTTCCACACAGAATGGGAGGGTTAATACTGATGTGATGTCTCTACACTAGAAATTAAAGAGCCCATTTTTTAAGCTCTGCTTCTTCTGTGGCACTGTATGAGAGGGGCTGAGTGACTACAAGGGTTGTCTGAGTGGGAGTAGGTCAGGGGCATCCTACTTGTAGGGCTTAGTCAAGAAAACCCTTTGAGGAAAAACCCAGTATCCTTCTGACCTTGTAGAGAGGAGATCAGCCTGGGAGTGGTCACAGAGGAGCCCATTCCCAAGAGTCCCAACAGAACTCAGTGGGGAAGTTGCGACCAAATTTGCAGCCACATCTGCTGTCACCTGAAGACTTGGTGGGACAGTGGAGTCACCAAACTGCAGGTAGGTCCTCAGATCCCAACTGTAGCAACTGTACATCCTCCTCTCTAATCTATATGAGACTCCAAGTGAACTCCCCAAAATGGACAGGAGACAAGGCAGTCTTGTATGCCAGCATCAGGAGGGAGAGGGGATCAGTGTTCCTTTTTGGGATGGTAATACAGTGGTGTGGATTCTGCTGAATCTGGGGGCTAAAGCCCTGTTCTAGGGATTGAAGGGGGGTAACTGCTTAGGGTTGGCTTCTTTTAGCAAGAATGTGCTAAAGAGGGAAGAGTTCACCCAGTAAGGCTCTCTGAGAGCTCCCTGTACTGACAGTGTGGGTGTAAAGGGGGCAGATTGTGTCCAAGCACCTCTCACTGGAGTGTTTTTAAAGACATGAGGGCATGAAATTTCTGTTCTGCAGGACTAGACTTTAACTACCTAATTACTTCTAGACTAGATATAAACCACTAAATCCTGAATAGGCCAAAACAGTGTTTGTAGTACCAAACCATTCACTAGAGCATTTCTTATCTGGTGTGTATTCAAAGTGAGCCTTCAGAGCTTGTACTGCTCTCTCACTGTACCTGACCTTTTGGGTGAACAGGTAACACAGGGTAACAAACCATGTGAGAAGGACTCAGGAGGGTTCAATTTTTCCTGTCTATTCAAAATGTTTCCTGTTTCTTTGATAAGAAACAGTGGATGTCTGTTCTACTGCCATTGCTTGTGCCTTGTGTCTTCCATTCAGCTGAAGGGGAAGAGAGGGAGCACAGTTCCAGAGAAGAAATGGTGTTGCAGAGGAAGGTGGAGGTTGAACTCCGACACATCCAGCAGCAGATGCAGTACTACTACAGCAGGAAGCTGGAGCTCAAGTATGTTCAAAGGCCCTTTAGCCAGCCTTTCTTTGTGTTGTCAACTCAATGCTGCACTATTTGTATGCATCTACCCTGAAAATAGTCAGTTTGTTCACAGTAGAACTGCAAATGGAACAGAGAAAAGTTCTAGAGATTTTTATTTTCTCCTTTTGAGTTCAGTCCAGGTGAAAGGGACGATGTGCATAACTTCTTCTGTAGTCAGCAAGTGGTTTAATTATACCTTTGGCAGCTCTTGGAGAAGCAAGTCAGAGGTATCATGGTGTAATCTGAAGGCAGGATAAATTAATTGGGCAGAGCAGCTGAAATTTAGCTTTTAGATCTTTTATCAAGAGGAATGAAGGCTGAGCTTTTCCAACTGTCAATTAAAAAAAAAAAAAAATGGCTGGTATTTGATAACTGCTCCACTAGAACAAGAACACATTTACAAAATTGCTCAAAAGAAAATGAGGCTTGGAGGGGATTTAACTGTCAGGAAAGGAGGAAGGCAGTGATTAGGAGATGGAGACAAGAGTTTTCAGATTCCTCTACTTTCCAGCATCCTTTTTTCTTTTGACTTTTTTAAAAGATTTTAACTATTCACAGGCTTGAGACAAAAAATTGGGTGTTATTACAAGTATCAATTGCAAGTCTAAGTTGGCTTAGACTGCTGAGCTCTTAATTGGAGTAAGAATCCTTCTAATCCATTTTATCAGGTCCTGTCAGCAGCAGGCACAGATTCTGCAGCAGTGGCTGGAACTGAGCTCAGGACCAGGAGCCCGAGCTGGTGTGCAAGGAGTTCAGGAAGAGCTGGGCCAGGTGTGTACAAATCAAACTGAAGCTACAGAAGTGATTATCACTCTGCTCTGCACTCAGCCTAAAGGCTGATGGCAGCTGTGAAGAACTGTGTACTGAGCTGTTGGTAAAATGCCAAGGGAAGGGGAACTTGTGGGCAGAAGTGGGCTGATGAGAACAGGCTCTGGAAATGCTTCTTCCCATTTGTTTAGAAATGCAACTCCAGCTCCAACAGACCTCTCTGAGGCTATTTCCAAGCTACAGATCAGGCTTTAGAAGATTCCATCTCGAAATTTTGTCTGCAGTCTCTCAAAGACAGTTTCCCTGTGTGCAGCCTGCACCTGCACTGCTCTGAGTCCCCAGGTTCATACACCAGGTGTGGCACTGCTCTGGTACCTCTGAATCCACAGCCAGTACCGAGCTGTTCCCCAGGGACACATCCTGTCCCTTAACTGCTTCTAAGTGGGATAACACAAAAGAAGAAAAATCCTAGAGCAGTCAGAGGGACTGAATGCTGCCTTGCTGTACAAACAGCTCATGCTCTTGCCTTCCCTTGCAGCTGCAGGGGAGGATCCACACCCTGAGTGCAGCCCAGCTGACGGACAGACAGCACGTGCAGAGCCTGCTTGCCCGCCTGCGGGAGATCCAGCTTGCCCTGGATCTATAATGCCTCTGATCCAACTTTCCAGCTCAGGGGTAGGACTTTTTGCCCCTTTGATAGCAGGGGAGGATGGAAGAGATGTGTACATTCACTTAGTTCTATGTACGGCATTTATATTTGATAAATTAAGTGAAAATATTTTTGCTTGTTTTGTTGTTAAAAAAGCTGATTAAAAACCACACTGGAGCTACACCTACCTCATGCTGCACTTGCAATACCTAGTTTAGGTTACCCTGCCAGAAAGATAAGCAACACAGATAAGACTCTTTATTTCAAAATGTTTGCAATTAAATGAGTTCATGTCAGTAAGTCATACACTTTGACATACAAAAATACCGTGCTACTGATACAGTTGAATTAAATGGATTCTCCAGGCAGGAGAAATTCACAGCATTATCAGTACCCTCGAGCAACTTTGCTTTCAGTTCTGGGTGTGTTGCTGGCCCTGCATCACAAGCAATGCTGAGTTATTAGCTCACTCTGCACAGTATTAAAACCATCCTAAAAACAGCCAATTGCTGGATCCTCTCCTCCTTCTGAGCTTTCTAATAAAGCAAACATCAAGTAACCATCCTCCATCACAGGCTAACAGTAACTTTCAGATACTGTGGATGATGATGCTGAGTAGGAAGAAATTAAAGCTTAAACTTCCTTTGGCTGTGTCTGGGTGCCAAAGGCCCCAGTGGAAAAGGGGGAAAAGATTCACTTGTCTTTTTTTCTCATCCACTGGAACAAATTTGCTTTCTACTGTTAACACAACATTGAAGTTTAATCAAAAATCTCACCATAACTTTATCCTCTTGGGGTTGATATTTGACTTACTCTTTTCTCACTCTCAAAGGTTTAAAAAAACCCCTTGCATCTGGTACTATACTGCTGCAGGAGTAAACTTGCTAATGCCAAGAAGTTTAACAAGATAGGTGGCTGAGAGCCACTTCAAGCTTTCAAACTCCTCCCTGTGTGAAGTGAGGAAACACTGACTCCTGGAGCCAAATGAATTTTCTCCTGCTTGTCACCCAAACAGCCACCACCATCACCTGACCCAGGGCTGGGCTACATCACTTAGAGGCAGTTCATCATCCCTTCCTCCCTGATGACAAGCTAAGCATACAGGACTTGGCAAACTGGACATTTGTACAACAAAATTATATTCTATTTTCTGCAGTGCATACAAAGAAGATAAGGGTTTCTTTAGGAGATCAGAGCTGGTCAAAGCCTATCTCCTTGAAGTAGCAGAAAAGTAGCTCAAGCAAGGAAGTAATATGAGAAATCTTTCAGAAAGCAGAAAGGCAAGTTTCATAAGCATGTCCACTCCAACAAGCTCTGGACAGCACAATCAGTTCTAAATGTCTGAGTGCTGGGACTTGAAACAGTTTATTCTCTAAAAACAACTGACACATTGCTTTAAAACTCAATTCCTCTTCACTCTGGCAGCGGTTTCTGTCAGCACCACATAGTGCCACCTGCAGCAGATCCAAGGTGTGAGATTTTAACTCTTCTTGATGTGAACTCTAAAATTTTACTGTGGATGAAGCTTCAGCACAGAGCTTTCAGCCCCCAGCACATTCCTAGCATTAAGTATGAGGGCATAAGTTAGAGCCAGTGTGGGGTTTTTTTATATTTTGAGTAAGATGAAATTGTTGCCAGTCAAGGGAGGCAACGTGGGATTTCTTCAAAGAGCCATAATGTTTGTAAACACAGTCAGTGCATAGGGCATTTCACTCTGAGCAATAAAAACTGGTCCTGAAGTATCTGAAGCTGTTCTGTAATAGAGAAATTAATTCTTCAATAATTTAGTGACAAAGCAATAATGAAGATACATAGCAGAAAGTAAAACATATTTTAGTTGCTATCACATCACATAAGAAAAACATTCCCTGTGTCTTCTAACTCCATAATCCAAGAGGTGAAGTAACTGTCCCTCATACAGACAAAAACTTTAAGGCCTGGAGTAGCAAAATAAACCCATGGATTAGGAATAGTACACACACCTCTGTCTGGGTTTTTTTGTTTTTTAAAAGAAAATCCTAAGATGACAAGAGCTGTTGTCTGGAATGTAGACACAGTGTTTTCAGGTTTAAAATACAGTGCAAAGTCCATTTTTAAAGGGACAATGTCAGGCAAAAGAACTGGAGTTGTCCAGTTCAACAGCAGAAAGCCTGGTTGAGTGTAATTCTTTCTACTGATGCTCTGTTGCATGTGTTGCTTTGTTTGGGCTGTGAAGCCACACCAGCCAGTCTCACTGTTTGGCTCTGTGTGCACTCACAGGCTGTCTTTATTTGACAATTTCAGCAGAGTTTCTTAGAACAAAATAAATATGAGAACGTATTCTTTACTCAAGGTCTGAAAAACAAATATTGCAGCTATAAAGTACAAGGTCTGAGACTGAGCCTGTCAGTGTCCCTTTAAACACAGGTAATCTCCACCCCTCCCCAGTGCACCTGCACAGCCTCAGAAGGCTTAAAAGGGACTTAAGAACATAATTATCCTGTGGCACATTGAGGGGAGAACATGAAACAGCACAGGCACAGGCTGGGACAGAAACCTCCATGGGCAACATCTTTAAAGGCAGCTGTACCTGATACATCCATGATCACTCAACTCAGTTTCTACATTCAGCAGCAGGTAAATGTAGAGCAAATACTCTCAAGGTTAACACAGCACTGACATCTTCTCTTCTGCTCACCCAGGTCCTGCTGAGTGATAAGGACTTGTAAAGTGAAACAATGGTGTGAAAAGAGTCCCTTTGTATAGAAAATCTTCTTGCTGAGACAGTTTCTATAGAGAGCCCAGCGCTTCTCCAAAGCGGATTTTCTGTCCGGCTTTGAGGTTGAATTTGAAGTCCTTGGGTGCCTCAAAGATTAGGACAATTGTGGAGCCTAAATTAAATTCCCCTAAATGTTCCCCTTTCCTCATGGGGATTCCCTCCTTGTTGTTGTTGGATATGAAGCTGAAGTCATTGTAGGAACCTTTAGAGTAACTTGGACTGTTGGTGTGCAAGTCCTGTACAGAGAAGGAAGAAACTGTTACTTGAGGATTTCAGCGTTCATTACCACAGCTGCAGACTGTACATGCTCAGGCATTTTCAATGCAAGAACTCACAATTCAAAGGTGCAACAGAAATACTAAAAAAATAGTCTGTACTGGCGATGATGTTTAAATCAGTCTTAGAACATCAGTACGAGAAACACCCTAATTTCAGGGTAATAAGATTTATTTTTTTTTGTAATTCTGTTATGCTGTGCCAACCTCAACCATCCAACCCAGAAAGCTGCTGCTACAGCCCTGCTCACCTGGTCGAAGTAGATGCGGATGGAGCCCACGTTTGTCGCTCCTACAGCTGTCAGGGAGAAGAAGCCGTGCTTCCAGTCACCTGTAAGGACAACCCGCTCGTTGTGGCAGAACAGCTCCTTGATCCAGCGAGCAACTCCGGGATTCACAGACATCAGAGAGCCTGGAGAAGTGAGAAAATATTCAGGTTAGGTTGTCTGGTTTGTAGCAGCATTGTAATGCCACCCAAATGGTGTGTTCAGTATAAGTGTAGCTGATCCAGAAAACAACTGTCACTTGTTTGTAGGAAGAGAGGCAAATGCTTGGCAGAGTGAATGAAAGAGAAGGCTGTGGTGAAAACAAAGGGGTCACAGAAGGATGTGTGTGGCAGGTCATGTCTCCCTCTCAGGGTGTTTGAAACCCAATCCAAATACTTAGGTTTTTGCCACGCACCAAGACGTAAAATGTTTTTATCTGCTTAACTAGAGTATGATGGTCTGCAAAACCTCCAATCCCAGCTCCAGCAGTGCAACTGCTTAGTTGCATTTTCTTTGCCAAGCACAAGCAGAGATCACACTTTAGGCTACTGTCTGGTGTGATCTGCAGAACTATCTGTATTTCAGGTGCAAACTGAAGAAACTGTTTGGGAACAAATCAGGTCAGGTATTTCAAAGAACTCAAAGAGCTTGAACACAATATTACTGTTTGCTCCATTTATATGTGACTTGTCCTGGTAAAGCACACTGCTGTTAACACTCATCAGTGATTTGTGACAAATCACTTTGCTGCCATTATCTATCATATGTCTGCACAACTGCTGCACTGCTGTGTCATTCAGCAGTGGTCATACCAGTGCTTCCCTCCAGAGCTGCTTCCCAGGAACAGAAACCAACCTGGGAAATGCCGTCGGTGCGACACTGTCCAGTCAGTGGGCGAGTGGAAGCAGTGATAGTCCCCTGGAGCAAGGTAGATCACACAGTGGTACAGCTCATTCCCCTCTTTGGTGACCAGTTGTTGCTGAAAAGAGTTACCAGGTGGGGCTGCAGAGAAAGCAGGGAAAGGAAGGGGTTAAAGATACTCTTTTCTCAGTGCTGGTGAAGCAGAGCAGTAATAGCACCAGCCAGTCATTAAAGGGTCAGTGCTTGAGCATAAATCTTTTTAAGGGGGAGCTTATAGAGTTTTTAGTGTCCAGGTGCTTGGGCCTGTTTCAGTGTGACAGCAGGAGTGCTCCAGCATCAGCACAGTAACAGAACTAGGAGTCAAGGGTAGGAACCATGCAATTAAATTCAGATAATCAGAATGAGTCTGGCACGACACTGTGAAGCCACTGATGAGAAAGAGAAGAACTAAAAAAGTGACATCTTCATCCCCCCCATAAAAAAACAGAAATCAGACCTGCTTTTGTTCCTGACAATGCAAGAAAGAGAAGGGGTAGGAAAAGTGATTTCTTTTCTCATGATCTCCAAGAACACAGAAAGGGCAGAGCAGAATAAATGCAGAACTGACACAGAACTCACCCTGACTAAAATGCAGTTCCTCTGTCGAGACACGAGGTCCCAAGAAAGACTCCAGAGAATAAGTGACCCCTTTTACTTGCTCCACTTCACAGTTTTTTACCTGCCCGAAATTCAGGATCTTTCCATCAGAAGGACTAATCTACAGTGAGGGGAAAGAAATGAAAACACATTAGTTCCTTCCTTCCTTCCTTCCTTCCTTTCTCCTGAAGCAGTGCTGTTCCCCTGGGGGTGAGGGGAGCTGGCAGAGCTGTGCAGGGCCCTCCCTCACTCACCACGCTGTGCACGCCGCACACCGGCCGCGCTTGCGGCTTCAGCTTCCTGCGGAAGAACTCGCTGAGGTTCCTGTAGTGGTGCAGATCCTCCACAGCCGCCTCCTTCATGTTCACCCCGAAGGTCCAGATGTACAGGCTGTACACGGGCTTACGGAGCCACGTGGGCAACTCCACCTGGTTCAGGCGACCCCAGGCCCGCGAGAGCAGCCGAGTTGGTACCGACTTGTACAGGGCAACCTGAGGGAAGAACGGCACCGGGTCACTGAGCGCTCCTCCCCACACTTCCTGCAAACCCTCCCTTGAACTGTGGGTTACACCACGGACAGAGTGGCCTTCAAGTCAGCAAAAAATGAACACTGCGCTTCATCCTCACTGCCTCCATGCTGGGGAGGGCAGAGAAGGGACAGCATGAAAATTACTATAACATTACACTGAAGACAGAATTCCCACTGCCCTGCAGGCTGAAGCTCCACATTCAAGTTACTGGAAGCTGCCCATGTGGGGCTTAGAGAAAAAAAGAGACATTGCACATATTCTAGTAGAATGTTAATCAGAAAGGTTTAATTACCAAATTTTTGTGAATAACCAAATGCAAACTGACTGAAAAATAACGTCCCAGTGTTTGATGACCTGCTCCTCAGATGCATTTACTATGAGGGTGTTTCCCACATCCCAGTCCTGGATGTTGTGCTGCTCCAATGACACCAGTCCCATCAAAGAAATGCACCCAATGGATGCAGCTACACTGGCATAAACTTACACCAGCCTTACTCCTTCTCTCACAACAATGGGAGTTGCTCATTGCAAGAGTATTAAGTGCCTTTATTTCTGCAGAAATATACCTTTGGGCTTACAATAAGCCTGAGTTTTAGTAGCAAGGAAAACAAATGAAATGAACTTGGCAAGAGGTATCTGCTGTTGATGTAAGTGGACAGATGACAGCAACTTCTTGTTGATAATTCCAGCAGACAACTCTTCTGGGGTTTGTGGTACTTCCTGTCAGCCAAAAAGCTCACATGGCCATGATGTAATTGGGCAAGGCTGGAGGATGTGAACCAAAGGAACTGAACACTCTGAAACCAGTTTTGGAAAAGAACTGGTGGTCTGCTGACTCTGGTGCTGTGTTTTTAACAGTACAGCTCAGCTACATCCAGCTGAGCTAAAAGTTGTTGGCTTTTTTTCTTAGTGAGAGTCATCATTTATTCTTAATATTAATCATATCCTTCATAATTAAGTCTTGCAAAATACAGCCATAAACACAGACAGAACACACTGACTCAGAGCCTGTCCATCATATAAAATACAGCAAATTAAGATTTCACTTATAAATCACCATCCCATGCACATACAGTGATATTTCAGAATGAAAATACCAACCTAATCTTACTTCAGATAAAACCCTTCTAAATAAACAGTACCTTGGGTTTTATAGGCTGACCTTATACAGTGTTAATTTCTAAAATAAATTTTGCTGTTTTCCACCAACACGGAGAATATGCAGATAGAACTAAAAAATCACACAAATTGTCAAAAGTGCTATTTCCTAATAACCCCTTCTCTTCCAAAGAACCTTGTTTTCAAGTTCATGGGATCAAACAGAACAGCTGTTCAATGAAGTACGCTTAACAATGGCAATTTTGTTCCAGTTTTTAATTAAAATATTTGTGTGGTTGTTGCATTCTGAAATGGCATGATTTGTGGGGAGAATAACCACGTGCAAGGCACCCACGCCCTGCTCTCAGCAGTGTCACAGCAGAGCTCTGCACATCATCTCAACAGGCTGGATTACAAATGTTCGAGGAACTTGAGGAACAAACCCTCCCTGTGCAAAAATAACAGAAAGCAAGAGACCATTCCAATGTGGCCAGGAAAGGGAACTTGCCAAGAGGTTTGGTCTGCCTTGTCCTAGCCCTGAACCTGTGAGGTGACTGAATTCATTCAAAAGTTTCTGTTGATTTTCCCTGACTGTTGCAGGACAAATTCTCTGCTACTGAAAAAGTCACTTGTCTGTGAAGCAATTAGTCAGCACACCTATGAACGGTAAGAACTGAACAGAAACATGAATTGCATCTCTGCTTTCACACCAGTCATCACCAGGCTGCCCTAACTGAAGGAATTCTCCCCCAGGTGCTGTCTGCAGCACACCCAGCTCAGCCCCCACGCACAGAGAGCTGCTCACACTTACCCTGCTCATGGGCCTCCATCCCACTCTGGTCAGGGGTTTAAGGGCACCGAAAGGCAGAAGGTAATAGAGAATAGTCAGAGGCCAAGAACGGAGTTTCAGAGCAGGCCTAGACATACAGCTCAGCTGGCCCAACCTCCGCCTCAGGGCCAGCTGGGGGAATTGCAACCTGAAAAATTACACACAACAGCAGAGGGTCAGGCATCTCAGCTGCAGAGCCACCAGCTCCTGGCAGCTGGGCACGACTTATTCCTGCTAAACGTTACTTAAACATTGATTCTGCAAGTCTCTACTCCTTTATTTTGATCAGTTCTTTGCCTTCACAAAACAGTTTATCTAAAAAAAAAACCCACAAAAAAACCCAAAAGAAGAAAAATCCTCTCTCCAAAAGATGGTGTTCACTGCACAGGTCACATTTTAGGAATAACACCCTCAAAAATGAAAGGCAAGACCACTTGCAGGTGGCATTTGAGAACTAAGTTACAGGTGGTTCATCGAAATAATAACATGAGAATTTAAGGAAATAACAAAGTACAAAGGTGCTTCTTCCAAATATCAGAAGATACAACCCCAGAAAACATTTCTTGCAACTGCTCCAGCTGTTGGATAGCCAAAGTGGGCAGCAAACAATATTCTAAAAGCTGGGAATCTGTGATGCTGGGACTTCAACAACTCTACAAAGGGACAATTTTATGGAAAGAACAGACATTTTGATGAAAGAAATCTTTGAAACCTAATAAACTGAGGTCCCTCAGAGTGTTCGTGCATTGAAGGCACATTGACAAGATTGTGCCTCAAGTTATATTTTATATCCCAAGGGATGCTGGAGTCAAATTTACAGACCTGGTGGTCACTCACTAACTTTAGGAAACAAGTACTTGAGAAACAACAGGAGTGGCACTCCTGAGATAGTTAATACAATTTACAAACCTTCTTTTAGTACCCTGGTTGTGAACAGGGAACGTATGGACAAAGCCAATATTGCTACTGCTGCAAGACAATCTGGTCTCCATAGCCCAATAACCAATTCCTCTGCCTCAGAACCAACTGCATCTCTGATTTTTTGTCACATGGATGTCCTGAGAGGGGTCTCCTTTTGCACAAATGGCCATGGGGAGAAGTTGAGCTTGCAACTCTCAGGGGGAAAAGCTACTCAGCTTATTAGAGCCCATCACAAGCCTCAGCTCAGGCCCTTGCAGGAGGTCTGGATGCAAGGCCCTTCAGGTCGCCTTTTATTCTTTGGCTTCTTCTCATGAAGAAACCATTGGCACTTCCAAGGTCACATTATCAGATGGAAGTCTGCTCACCTGAGGGCAAACTATTCAAACCTGGCACTGACTGAACTCCTGGCTCGTACACTGTTCCCTTGCAGCAGGGACACAGTGATGTGCCCTCACAATGCCCTCACAAACTCGAGTGGGATGGCCTAGCTGCTCCCAACAGCTCCCTCTCTCAAGGCATTCTGTGACATGAAGGGTGAACTACAAACATAGTGCCTATGTCCTCGTCCTTCCAAGATGGAAAAAAGCTGAGAATTTAAAGGATTTTCTTGCCAACTCGTTCTTTCCAGAACTTGGACCAGAATTAAAATACCATGCAGGCAGGTATGACTGTCACCACTCTGGGATGCAAGATGGTGCCTTTGGCTCAGAGATTTTTTTCTGCAGTGAACACAACTTCTTCCCCCCCCAAGAATTAATAAATAATCTGTGCATCACAATGCAAAGGGTAAAAAGAGCCCTGAGCAAAGTGTTGTCTCAGCACAGTTAAAGCCGCTTCTCAGCAGGAGGTGGGACTGCCATGGGAATAGGAAGGGACACTTCACATTCTTCCTCCCATCCTAACCCCCCCCAGCCTGCCAGGGCTGGCGGGCCGGGAGCCGGGCTGGGTCCCCCTCCTGCTGCTCTCCCCCCCTTCACTGCAGTCGCTCCTGGACCAATCCCTGCAGAGCTGCATCGCTCCGGAGCCCTCGGGCTTCTCACTGCCTTGGCCTGGTTTCAGAGCGGCCCCTCAACTAATTTTTCCATTCTCCTAGTGATGGAGAGGAGAAAGGAAAGGAATGAAAGCCTCCTCATCCCCCTTGCCGTGGAACAGCCTGCCCTTCTCTGCCGGCAGCGCATAAGGAGCTTTATAGTAATTAGGCCAAACAAAAGCTTCGCAGATGGCTCCCGCTCCTCCTGCCCAGACACCCTCCCGGCCTCCCTCCCCCTCAGTCACCATTCCTGCAAAGCACAAAACACTGAACAGTACCTGAAACGAGTTCTCCTACTTGGTGTCCCACCGGCAGAGCCAGTCGGGCCTGGGCTCTCCAGCTGTGGGTGCTGGTCCCAGGCACAGCTGCTGCTGCCGCCGTTCCCTGAACGCAGCCTCCGGACATGGATTTTAACTTTGTGGAGGTTGTAGCAAGAGGGTGGAGGGTTAGATAAAGCTTTATAGCATCTCACCATTTCCCTGTGTGCAGATCTGGTCCCTGCAGGGTGTTTGACTGACACATCATCAGGTGACGGCTGTTGTAAGGCTCAGTCTTTTTTCCTCTACCTCTCTTTCCTTTGCTTGCTCCGGCACAGGAGAGAGGACACGGCGTCACAGTTCCTAAATCCCCCGCTGGTTTGTCTCTGGATTCCCTCTCTGTTTCCCACTTGAATCTCTGCTACGAGGGTTGCAGCTATTGCAAACAAACAGGCATCGTGTCATATTTCAACATCCCACTACAAAGCCGACTCTGCACAAGACAAAGGCGAGCTGTCCATATGAGCAGTCCTTGCTTCTCACTAGTCGGGGTGGCCATTGAAACCAACTCCCCCAAAAGCCCCCTGCAGTCCCGGCCTGCTGGGCAGCAACGCACCAGTGAGGGGAGCAGCCAGCTGGGCTCGCACAGCTCATCCCAGCGCAGCCTGAACGCGAGGCTGGGAGGAGGAATGGGGCGGAGAGGAGGAGGAGACAACCCCCAGCTCCAGTTCTGCAGTGCAGCAGCTCCCGCTGAAAGAGTTCTGGACTGATGGGCACCAAAAATCCTTCCCTGCCCTGAATGTCCAGCTTGGGAAGGAAACAGAAAGGAAAGGAATGGCTCTCTATCTTACAACCCTTGCCAGGCACAAACATCCACCTCCTGAAGTCTTTTTTCATTCCAAAAGCCTCACACAGGGAGCAGGTAAAGGGCATTCTTCTAAAACAGATTACAAACAACCAGATCCACACAAACCAAGCCAGTCTTAGGGCCAGCTTGAAAACTGGGTATAGAGTTATGTGTCTATTATGTGACTCTCAGCACTGTTTTATGCCCAATAGAAATAAAACACAAAAGAGGAGTAAAGGAAGCTGTTTAGGTTTTTAAAGACAGTGTTTCTATCTGAGCATTCTAAATGTACATAAAGAAATTTCCCTCTTTGACCCTGCAGACCAGATCTCAAAACAGAGATTTTCTGCTTCTCCTGTGACTGGATTTGGATTGTTAAGGGAGCCTGAAACCAGCCCCCTGGTTCAGAAAGTAGAAGTCAGGTAGCTACATCTCACCTCAAGATTAAACTAATTACCCAGAACAATTTCAGGGCTAAGTCTCTCCATTTCACTTTGGTGAAAGTGAAATGTGGCTCCATTTCACTTTGGTTTTCTGCTGAAGTCTGGGTTTAAAACAAAACAAACCAAAACAATTCCTTGTTTCCAAAGCTTTCTAAGCACCATGAAAGCTGTGTGCCTAAGAGGGTAGATCAAAAAGAGCACTGCTGCTCTGATTGAGGGAAAAGGTTGTATTGTATTAGGGATAAGGCAGGAGGGGTGGGAGGACCAGCAGGAAAAGCTAGAATTAACTAGCTAATGGCATCCCACTCACGCCTCAAAAGGAAAATATTCTAGCAGTAATTGTGTATTTTGATTGGCCTTCAACTCCAAATATTACAGATACTCCCTAGAAACACCTCTGGAGACCCTGCATTAGAGTATTTTTTTCAGGAAGAAAACTGCTCTGTGGTATTCTGTAAGACCTGTGTTGTTGTTCAAGATGAATTTTAACAATTGCATATTATAAAAAAAGCCAGTTAATTGAAAGAAGGCAAATTTAAGATTAACTGAGAGCACTCAAAACATACTCCTTCCTCCCTGAGCCCTGTGCCAGCTCTTTTTGTTTTCCTATTTAAAATATCATTCAGTCTTTCTCTGGCTGGCACAAGAAACTCCTACACAACAAAAATGAAGCCATCTGTCTAGTAAAATGATGAAAGTAGTTACCAAAAATCCCACCAAAATCCCAAGAAAAGCAATGAGGAGCACAGAGGAGCTATTTCTCTTGATTCACCAGGAACATCAGAAACTACCACCACTAAATACTTCATTTTAAACAGCAACAAGCTAATTTGACAACACTGTTTCAGAAGACACTTCATCAGGCCAAGATGAAAATCATTTTCACGCTGCACACGCGCGTTCACTGAACTGTGGGGAGAGACTTTGTTTGGCACTGGTGGAACAGGGCAGGAGCAGCAGTCCCCAGCCCACAGCTTGGCTGGCACCCTGCTCCCAATCCCACCTCCTCCATGCAGACCTTCACCCTTGCAGGACTCTGCTCAGAGACAGCAGAGCAAACACAAGCCTTATCTACACTCCCTTCAGTACTCTTCCCTTTTAGGGAAGCTTTTTCAGTAAAATTCTATCTTACCCCCCCAAACATTTTCAAGCAACTATTATATTCTAGACTGAATAAGCCTGATTCTGTGAAAGCATGGAAGAAGCTGAATGTCTGACCTGCTCCCTAAAAACAGGCACTGAAATGTTCTGCAGCCCAATGCAGTGGGAAGTACCACACTTCAGTCCAAAGCAAAGTGCAAGAGAGATTCCTTTCCAGGAAGGGAGAACCATTGCTATTAAAAGCTTTTTCTTCTCCACTTCTTAAAAAATCTGAGCTCAGCTGAGTGAGAAGTTTCTCTTAAGTTCTGTTCTACTGCCCCCATTACATTCACCAGGATGCCAGTGCCTGAGTCCTGCTGAAATGCTGACACACGTGGCAAGATGCCATTCCTCCTGTGGCTGCTCCAGAAGCAGCATGCAGTTCCTACAGGGTAAGAAGGCTGAAAGGAAAAGCCCACCCTGAGTTTACCTGCTTTCCATGGGGAAAGGAACAAGAACTGGTCGTCAGTCAGCTTATGACAGAGGAACTCACAGAATGGCATCTCAACAGCCAGACCTCTCAGGATGCAGGCAGTGCTCAAAGCCTGTCATCAGTTTACAGCAAAATCTTACAACTGTCAGTTTGTAGGAGGTTGGACACCAGCACCAAACTCCCCCACCCATCTGAATTACTCCAGAATCCCCGTTAGGTAAATGAGGCAGCAGTTACCAGCAGGTATCAATCCCTGGAGAATTATTATCTCATGTAGAACTGCTAATCTGCCAGCTATGCTGCCAGCTCTGTCAGCTCAAATGAGTGTCAAATCCAGTGACCTCATTTAATTACTTGTCATTACCACCTCAAGCCCTTCCCTCAAGTTTTAAAAAACAGCAAGGCAATTGCAAGAAAGACTAATATGCAACTGAACTTCAAACCTGCAGCCTCGGTTTAACTGCAGGCATGAATCATTAGGCTTGGAATGCGCCGGTCGGGACACTCAAAGCCCGCTGGTCATACTTTCTACATTTGGTAACAGAACTACTGTTTAAAAAACGCATGGAAAGCATCCCAATGTTGTATTCAAGCGCCAGCAAAAATACGGTCTTGTACCGAGGGGCGAAGCCCTCGCTGACCGTTTGTTAAAGGTCCCGTTCCTTTCCCAGCAGTGACTGTTTAACTCCAGACACGTCGTCCCTGCTCCCACCCAACCTCGTCCGGAGCCAGCCCAGCAGGAGAACGCCGGATGCTCCACACCCCAGTCAGGAGGCTCCTGAACGCCGAGAGCACAACAGAACTGCCCTGATGCTGCCGGGAAACCTGAGCGCTCTCCGAGCCAAGGGCCGGGATCGCCGGGCAGCGCCTTGGCTCCCGGCTCTCCGGGAAGAGCCAACGGGACCGGGACCGCTCCCCGAGTACTTCCCGGCGTTGCTTCACCCTTCGTGTCTGAAATTCTTTACTTCTCAGACGAAGAACCCTTTCTTTATATTTTCTCTTCATGTATTATGAAGAAAATTCTGATTGCTTTCCCCTAACTTTACATTGCTGTTTCAGGGATTATTTTTGAACCTTAAACCTGAATTCTGTGCAAAGAGCCTGTTCTAGAGTCCCAAAGATCTCTCCTGTGAAACAAGAAGTTTTATTTACTTTGCGAAGCGACATGAAAATTGATGGCACCCTTTTAATACTTTGTAGTAATAATTTCCGATTCATGGTCTTGAACACCACCCCCAGCACTCCCCCCCCCGTTATTTTAGCCTAAGATCTCGGCAGAGCCAGCTCTCGGTTCCGCACAGGCTCCCCGAAGGAAGCAGCAGCCGCGCTCCATCCTCCGCACGGAGCAGCGCGGGGCGGAAACTGCGCAAAGGCTGCGGCGGCTCCTCGACCCCCGCCCTCCCCGCGGGACTCCGGACTCAGATAGGGCAGGTTCAGGAGACTCATTCTCTTTACATCTACTCAGGGATTACTCATGAGGGAGACGAGACTTTGGAACATCCCTCCTGAAACTTCCAACAGGCCACAGACCGCAGGTGAATCACGCTTGGCCGCCAGCCCTCGCACATCTGCCCTGCGGTCCCGCAGCCCTTACCTGATGCCCGGGGAGGTCTCCTCCGTCTCGCCTTTTCGCCTCCAACCGCCGAAACGCGGCACCGACCCTTCCTTCCAAAGCAGTTTTCAGACACGTGAACAAAGCAGCGGAATGCGAACCCCCCCTCCCGCCGCCCCCGGGGCCCCTTCTGCCCCGGGTAGGGCAGCGCAGGGCGGCTGCAGGTCCCCACCTACCTCCCGGCGACGGCACAGGGTCCCCCGACCCGCCACCCGCGCTCCGCTCGCTCCGGGCCCGGCCCGGCCCGTCCTCGCCTTAAGGAAGCGGCGGGGCCGGCCCTGCCCCGCCTCGCCCCAGCCCGGCCCGCAGGGCCCCGGCCCCTTCGGAGGAGGGGCCAGGGCAGGAGAACCGAAAAGGAAGAGCCCGGAGGGCACCGGGACACGGCGGCACCCGCGGGACAAGGGGCTGCACAGCGAGGGTCGGGGGCAAGGAGGGCCCGTCATCAGCCGCTGGCCCGGACAGCGGGAGAGCGGCTGTGTCTGGGAACAAGGCAGCGGTGCGGGTGCTGTACATCGCACAGCTCCCGAGAGCGCTTCCCACCGCGTGTCCCAGCGCGGCAACACAATCCCACACAGGCAGCGGCAGCCAAAGCAGCAAAGTGTGCTGCAGACTCATAAACTGCTTCCCGAACGCTCAGGTAAATCGCTCCATAATCCCACAAAATGCTCAGGAAGTTGCACGAGATAGAACAGACCCATCTAGTCAAAAGCAACTCCACTGGTCAGATTAAAAAAAAAAACAAACAACTGATTTTACTTTCAATTTTCCAGTACAGCTGAGAAAAACATTTGCACCATCACACACACACGTTTTGATGCTGTCGAAATGTCACCGCTTTCAACATTTTCTGACCACCTTTGTTGTGGGCCTTGGGTCACTCTATAAGAAGATTTTTGTAATTGCATGTTTGCTCCAATAAAACTCCAAACATCACAACCCAAGAGCAAGAACGAGGAGTAAGAGACCAACCAACTGGAGATTACGTTGGATTAAAAAAATAATCAGATACTCTTCCATTATTAGCTCTTTCCTGAACTTGATACACACCTCTTACCATAATACTAAATGTCTCCCCCGGGCCAAAAAAAGCACTTTCTCTATTGTATTGCCAAGAGCTCCAGTATCCTCTTACATAAATACAAGCACTTTCTGACATCAGTAGGAAAAACTGTGTTGTTTTTACCCCTGAGAGAATCAAGATCCTAAACCTGTCCTCAAGCACTTCCCTGCTGTATTAAGCTGTTTTCCAAAACTGTGGCCCGTGACAATAAATTGCAGTTGGAACAGGACAGAACTGTGATTTAATCCCTCATCTGTATTATCCCCTGTCACAGCAGCTCACTTCCCTACAGGTTCACTGGGCTTTTCCTGGCACATGTCACTCCAACAAATGCTGCTTTTTGCTTAAACAAAACAGAAAAACTATGGAAGCAAAGGACACGTACAAGAAGTTCCTCTCTAAAGAAACATTCTTGTTCATCTGGTCACTCTGTTCCACCAAACTCACCCTATGGCCAAGGTTTCCCAGAGTAATTCTTTGATCCTGTACGGAAACTGCCCCATGCTGAGGTGAGGAGAGGCAAAATGCCTCCAGTTAGCATATGAATGACATGCCAAGCATGCAGATCCCAGCCAGGAAACGTTCTGTGACAGCACGGATTTGGAACAATAAGCTTCCATCCGTCTGATAAACATCTACCTGTCTCCCTCCAAGCCCTCTGCTCTACCTCATCTAATTAAATGAAAGCTGATCTCCACTGGTATTCCCAGCAGGAGACACTAAGGCCTTAATCAGCTCAAGCTATTAGCAACATAATGTCTCTAAGAAAATTACAGGAACAAAAGGTCCGTGCTGAAGAAACAATAGTTCTGTCTTTCCCTGTGGAGAAGCTTAAGGGACACTTGACTTGAACCAGATTCATTTCCCCCCCCCCATTCTTTTATACATCTCAAGCAAAACAAAGCTATCCAGAAGTGTAACTCACTCTAATTCAACCCAAACCCATGCACAGCTCTGTGAGAATCTCAACATGTATCTCTGCAGCAGGAACAGCTTCCCTGCCTGCACAGCAGGGTGAGGATTACCCATTTCATCTCTGTCTTCTGCTCAGAAGCAGGGGACCTGCCTTACACACAGAGCTGGCAGGTGGGAGATGGTCCTTATTGCCACAGGAACACGAGACTGGTACAGTGGAATCAGAACTTCAGAGCAGCACCCTCAGCAGGGAGGGCACCTGCAGCAGTTTCTTGTTCTGTATTCACTCTTTCACAGCCCATTCAATCACACTTGGTCTTTTGTTGCCTATGCAAAGGCTTATTCTGTCCTAAGAACAAGGCAACACCCCTCTGCCACATTCCTAAGTGTGCTTCCAGTGATGCAAAAAACCAGAATAATGGAAATTGATAGGTCAGCAAAAAAGACACTCCACTTTTCAATAAAAAGGAACAATGCAGCTCTTATTTTTCTTGAATCCTCCATTGTTTGGAATATTTCTTACAATGTCTGAACAGTTTCTCTTTTTCCTCATAACTGTCAAGTTTCCTTTCCCTCCCACAGAAGCATTCAACAGAACTTAGGCACATCAGGAAGGACTGGGACATCTTGATAGCATCTCCTACTGGGATCTGCTGCATTTGGGGCTCTGCCTATCAGTTTGGAACTCTTTGTATGATTCCTCACTGTAAAAACCACATGCTTTAGAGCTGGTTCATCAAAAGCAGCACTCACAGCTTCACCAAATAATAAGAAACCAGCTTATCAGTACTGAAAAAAAAGCAAATTTAATAAGAGAAATAACCAATTTCATACCTAAAAGGATGAACAATAACAAAAGAATATTTGTTTTTGAGTATCAAAATTGAATTGATATTGCCTTGTTACATGGACACTTACCAGTTCTTTTTTAATCAGAACCTGTTTGAAACAAGCTTCATCAGGAAAAGAATATACAGAGGAGAGACTTACAGACAGATTTCTCAGGAGCTATCACAGCCTAAGCTGTTGGCATCTGGACTGTCTGGGTCAGATCTGATTTGGGGCTCTAGCGAAAATAAATTTAGAGATTTCAGCCCAGTCCCCCACAGGCATGTGGCCAAATCACACACACAGGCAGTGTGCTCAGGAATGCAAAGAAATGGGATGCTAAAGGTCACACTGAAGCATCTCCTTACAATCCTAGAATTTTTAACTCCTTGCCTTCAGAAATGGCACTGAAGCAGGCACTCACCTGGCTGTTTGGAAGAACATCATATATATTTTAAACACTTTAAACTTGTGAAAAAAACCCCACATATACAACTCTTACCATGGAGTTGTAAATTATATTTAATATTTCAGAGGTGATACAGCAGTTGTAGGAAGTCAGGAAGTATTTCTTATGTTGATGCTGCAGTGGGTATTTGATCTGGGAATCTGACACACACACTGCAATTCCACAATAATTTCTAAACTCCTTGGAATCCAGAAGGAAAAGGTAAAAGTCCCTCAGGATCAGCAGGAGGCACTACAGACCCAGGTGTTACCTATGAAAAAAGGTCTTGCTGTATATTCATAGTGGAAACAGGTAGATTTTTATTAACCAGGTATTAATTCCATCTCCTTGTAAAGTATATATGGTGTCAGCCATACTAAAAGGTGGAGGAGTCACTGGCAGTTCCTAATGTTCCTAATGTTCCTCACTTCAGCCAAAATGAGTTCTTTAAGTGACAGAAACTTTAGTTCCATGAGGCATTGGCAGCAGAGGACGAACTCAAGATTCCCTTGTTGGAATGGAAGCCAAGGA